CCCCTCACAGGGCACTCCCACCCCGTGGGGCACCTCCCGCCCCCCCAGTACCCCCTAACCCCCCTCCCTGCCCCCCAGCCCGCCATGTCTCCGCCGCTGCCCGCCCTGGTGATGATGCCCACGCTGACCCTGCTGTCCCTGCTGCCCCCCGGGCGCTGCCCCCCGGCCCCCACGCAGCCCCACGCCATCCGGCTGGAGGGGGACCTGACGCTGGGGGGGCTGTTCCCGGTGCACGCCCGCGGCCCCGCGGGGGTTCCGTGCGGGCCGGTGAAGAAGGAGAAGGGGATCCACCGGCTGGAGGCCATGCTGTACGCGCTGGACCGCGTCAACGGCGACCCCCGCGTGCTGCCCAACCTGACGCTGGGCGCCCGCATCCTGGACACGTGCTCCCGGGACACCTACGCCCTGGAGCAGGCGCTGAGCTTCGTGCGCAGCCTCCTGCCCCCCGAGGGCGGCGACGGCCGCTGCCCCGACGGCTCCGTCCCGCACCGGCCCCCGCCCGAGCGCCTGGTGGGCGTCATCGGCGCCTCGGCCAGCTCCGTGTCCATCATGGTGGCCAACGTGCTGCGGCTCTTCGCGGTGAGGGGGGGCGCGGGGGAGAATTTGGGGGACATTGGGAGCTTCGGGGACGTGGGGGGTCATGGGCACCTCGGCCAGCTCCGTGTCCATCACTGCTGCAGCAGTGAGGGGTGGGCACAGGGGGGTTTTGGGGGGGTCACTGGGGACCTCAGGGACATTGGAAGACGTGGGGGAGCATTTGGGACACGAAGGGACATTGGGGACATGGGGGTCATGGGCACCTTGGCCAGCTCCGTGTCCATCACGGTGGCCAACGTGCTGCGGATGTTTGCGGTGGGGGGGGGCGTTGGGGGGTGTTGGGGTTGCTGGGGTCATCTGGGGGGCCGTGGTGGGTATTTGGGGTGGGGAGGCTTTGGGGACACTGAGGGGACAGGGGAGGGAGCCACAGGACAGCACCATCCCCGCAGTGTCCCCGCAGTGTCCCCACAATGTGCCATCGTGACCTTTCCCCTTGGGGGGGGGGCCTGGACACCTGGTCCCCTCCCTGCCCCCCCTCATCCCCCCGGGGCCATTCCAGAACCTTCTATCCCCCCCCCCGGGTGTTCCCACAATCCCCTGGGATGGCAGCAAATGGCCCAGGGGGATTAGGGGGGATTAGGGACGGGGGGGGGGG